TGCAGTGGACAGCGGAGCTCCTGGCAGCAGGGGGTAGGCTGAACAAAGCCAACATACTTCCAGACAGCCAGAGCAGACCTAGACAGCAAGAATACTCTGTGTGTGTGCATGTGTGTCTGTGTGTGTGTGTTTTTAAAACAAGCCCATCAGCCAAGACAAACAGAACATAATCGCCTGGCGTCAGCTCAGTTTTCAAAAATAGGTTGCTTCCCATGACGTTTCCTTCCCTCTGTTTTGTTCCAACTCTGAGCCTACCAGCCCTCACTGCTATCTTATAAATCAAACAGAGAAAGAATGGTTCTGGGTACCAGTGGGAGGCCGTCCTTTCAGCATGGGAGATTAAGGAGTCCGGCAGCTCTGTGTGAACAGACACAGCTCCCCTGGCTTCTGGCCTCGCTCCTCAGTTATTCCTGACATCTTTCCTCCTTTTCTTCTCCTGGTGGTCAGAAACCAGCTGGGCGGGGTACCCCAAGGGTCAGGGCCACACCCGACGGCGAGCCTTCCACATGGGAAAATGGCACAGTCTTCTTGGAAAGTAAAGGGATCAGAATATGCCCTGAAGACCCCTCAGGCGAGTTGGAGGGCAGCCAATGCTCAGGGTAGAAGCTGTCCAGAGCTCGCAGTGCTGGCCAGAGCCATGGAAATAAACACATTTGTCACCAACCCAAATATTCACGCCAACAGAAGCTGCTCCCCACTTGAGTGTAAATTGCTGGGTAGGAGGTGGAGGAAATGGGAAGAGAGGAAATTGGAGGTGTCAGCCCCAGGATGCACTGGTGTGACTGACCATAATTATGAGGGGGTCATGTCCCGATTGCTTCCTGCACATCACAAAGCACTTTCAGGTGTAGCCTCACCACAGCCCAGCAGAGCAGCAAAGAAGCTTGGTGGGAAGAGCTGTTTGCCTGAGGACTCTTTGGTTGCTAACTTGTAGTTGAGAGAGGCTGAGGCCATTCCACTACACTGTGCTTTCAGCTTAGCTGGATCCCCCAGGGTAACTAAGGAAGGATGCCCAGAAGGAACATAGCAACTCCTCTCAGTGTGTGGAACTCTGCTTTGAGTTGGCCAAGACCTTCTAGGCAACTAGTCTAGCTCTACACCTGTGCTCAGATTCCTTCAGCAGCAGCTCGCCTAGTGCCTGCCTCATTTTTCTTAACATCCTCAACAACAGGCTATTCGGGTCAGCCCACGGAAGGACTTCCGTTTCCAATCACATGTCTTGGTTAGACTTTGGGAAGCAGCACAGCAGGGCAGGATGTACAAGGGCTGAGAAGTCACTGGATTCACGTCTGGGGTCCAACCACTGATGAGCTGGGTGGCTCTCAGCAAGTCCCCTATCCCTAGGAGTCTGGAGTAATCACTGACACATGGGCAGGATTGGCAATCATCTCTTTACAGTGCTAGCACAGTGCCAAGCGCAGGCAAGTCATCTACAAGTCTTTTGTGATTATTACTGGCACAGCCTTCTACACATCAAGCTAAAGTCTGTCTCCCTATAACTGCTGTCCTGGTCTGTCTTTGTTAACAACAGAACAAAACAAATCACTCTTTCACATGGGAGGTCCTTAAATATCTGAAGACTGCCCACAGCCCAGTCTCTGTGTGGCATAGATGTGGCTGTTGGCAGTTCTCAATGAAGCAGACATTATAAAATCAATAGCTTCCATCAACTGAAAACCCTCTATCTCTTTCTCATGTGGCTGTTAAGCCATATCTTCCCTATTCTGTGCATAGGCATTTGGGTCTGGGTTTAAAATTTATGTCTGCATCTATGCCTGCTAAAGTTCATGCCCTTACTTGAAGCCTGTGAGTCCAGCTTTTTTTCTCTCCCAAATTAGCTTCTTGAGCTTTGTCTTCAATTAATAATAACTTAATTAATTCAATGATGCTAAAAAAAGAAGCCTTCCTCCATGTTGTTTCTTCAAGTAGCAGATGGTACATCCCCCTCTTGCTTCTTGCTTCTTGCTTCTTCAATCTCATTTCAACAAAAGACTGAATGTCCAGGATCATTTTCTCTAGAGAATCCTAGTTTATTCTACATGTTTAGTTTCATTAGTACCCTTTCTCTCCAACAAAGAATTTTTTCTCCCTCCCCTTTTCTTTGCAGCTAAAGGATGCAGATCTTCAGGCCGTTATTCCATGCTCCTTAGAACTTAGAGAAAGTTCAGAGGACATCTGTAATGATGATTAAAAGGCGGTTTGTGAGGTGGGGATGAGAGTGTCCCTTGAAGAAAAGATAAAGGCATTGGGATTAATTAGAAAAGACAGGATATTTTAATAAGATGTTCTGATAGATAGAGAGCTTTAGCATAAAGAACAGTAACCAGCTGTTCTCCCCCTCTGTTGAGAACAAGATATAGAAGGAAACCAAAGCTGAAATCTTCAGCATTTAGGAAATTCCTGTCCCAGCTGTTGCACGGTGGGAAAGACCACCTGGGCAAGCGTGGTTTCTTAGTGTCTCAGGACTGGAGGAGAGTCACTCTGTCTGAGAGATGTGGAGGTGGAGAGAGGCAGAGGAAGATTTCCCAGCTGCGCCTGCCGTGGTCTGGCTGTGGATGACCCCATGGAGACCATGCAGGTGTCTGGCTGGCGTTTGTGGTGGCAGAAATCTTAACATTCTGGTCTTCCTCTTTCCTTCAATCTCTTTGCCTTTTTTCTTCCTGTTTAATTTTTTTTTAAGACAGTAACTTAAAAGGTTAAAGCACAGAGATGGTAAACTCTCTCTGCAGAGATCTCTAGAAATCCCTGGTTTAGAAGCCCCAGGCCAGACTCACTGGGCCTGCCCCTGGGTGCTCCTCTGATACTGGAGCGTGCAAGGCTCTGCCTGTCAGGTCCTGGGCCATCTCACCCAGCTCGAGGCAGTAGGGAGAGAGGTAGCAAATGCAAGGACAAAGCAGATGTTTGCCTGGTGCTTACAATTCTTGAGATCGCTGCATTCTCTCTTCCTTTAAGCTGAGGTTATAATGTTAGAGCTAGCAGAAGTCTCAAATCATCTAGCGTTTCCCCAAACATTTCCGTAAAGTGATGGAACTTTTTCTCCACAAACAATATTCTCCAGAGAACTGCAATGTTTAAAACAGATAAAAGCAGAGCCACCCCAGCTGCCATAAGTTTGGGTGCTCCAAACCCCATGCTGTGGAGGCACCTTGGTGGCCTTCTGCAGAGCTTCACCATTTCTCCAATACACTTGTTTTACCCAGAGAAAAACAGGCCCAGAGAGTGCTGGAGGCCTGCAGACCGGTTTGCTTCACAGCTGCTTGCTGCCTGCCACTTGGTCCCAAGCATCCAAAAGGGACTGGGCTCTGTCAGGGAGTGTGGATCCCACCCTGCTGTCTTCCGTCTGCTGGTCCCGGTGTTTGGGGCATTTAGAGCCGTGTTTTTGAGACATTCCTGCAGTCTTCTGAGGGGTCTG